CAGTCACAGCTGCAGCCTGCCTCCCCTTTGCCTGCTCCTTCTCCCTACGCTGGTCCTACTTGAGGTCTTACTGAGCGTCGTGAGCCTGCGTCTCGTCCTGCGTTGCCTGTTTGTGTTGCGCGCGCTAGTGGTCGCGGTTCGCGTCAGAGTCCTCCTCCTGTCCCTGGCACGCACCGGATGTCTCTGCGTCCGTCTACTGCTCCTCTGCGTGCCCCTTTGCCTTCTCCTCCTGAGTCCTCTCTTCCTGCTCTTGCCGACCCGGAGTCGGACTCTCTTCGTGCTGCCAGTCCTACTGTCACGCGTCTCCTTGCTACTGTCGTCACTGACCCTTCCTTCGAGTCTACTGCTGCGTCTGCCCTCGTTACTGAGCTCGTCGACTTTGCTGCTCGCTGTCGCCTAGACTACGCTGCTAGTCTTGTCGCTGAGTCTGAGTCTGTCTGTCCTCCGTCCGTCGGGGGTGAGTGTGCCCTTGGCACGGACGTCCTTGAGGACAGGCAGGAGGAGTTCCAGTGTTTGGCAGCTGCTTCACCTCATCTCGTGTCCGTACTGCTTACCCCTGAGGGAGACCCGGATGCACTTGACATCCCGACTCCGCGCTCTTACGCGGAGGCGATAGAGGGTCCCTACTCCTCTCAGTGGCAGGCAGCTATGGATGCAGAGATGGCTTCCTGGAAGTCCACAGGCGCCTACGTTGACGCTGTCCCCCCTCCTGGGGCGAACATCGTCAGTGGCATGTGGATCTTCAGGGTGAAGCGGCCGCCAGGTTCTCCGCCTGTCTTCAAGGCACGCTACGTGGCTCGTGGCTTCAGTTAGCGGCAGGGAGTTGACTACTTTCAGACCTTCTCCCCCACCCCGAAGATGACCACTCTTCGGGTTCTACTGCACGTTGCTGCTCACCGTGACTACGAGCTGCACTATCTCGACTTCAGCACTGCTTTCTTGCAGGGCAGCCTGCACGAGGAGATCTGGCTGCGCCGCCCACGTGGCTTCACTGGTTCTTTCCCTCCTGGTACCCAGTGGAGTCTCCGGCGTCCAGTCTACGGTCTCCGCCAGGCGCCACGTGAGTGGCACGACACACTGAGGACTACACTGGCGGCTCTTGGGTTTGCTCCTTCTACTGCCGACCCGTCGCTGTTTCTGCGCACCGACACCTCTCTGCCGCCGTTCTACACCCTCGTGTACGTCGACGACTTGGTCTTTGCCACAGCTGACACTGCTGGACTCGCCTACGTGAAGTCCAGTGGTCCTCACTGCTCAACGTGTACATCACTATAGCACCACAGTCAGCACCGTTACCACTCGCGACCCTCGCATCGACAATCAGCCCGCCAATTTCGCACATCGCACACCAACCTCACGGCTCGGCTGGTAACCCGCGCTCCGGGCCTCCGCTTCGACACTTTCCCAAACCTCAGTCCCAGGCCCGTCACGCGACAACCACAGTCCATTACCGTTACCACTGTAGTTTCGCTATATATTCTTCGCTCATGCCTTCGCTCATTGGATTCTTGCTTCGATAGTGCAATTCTCGTTCATTTACTCAATTGCACTTGTAACAACAAACCATAAGGCATGTTCAGCAGTTATGCCTCATTACCGTCACGCGCACAGGAAAAAAAGGAATAATCGTTACCATCCTCTAGTGCGTTTCATCACAACCATCACTGTTTTCACAATATCCTAATGGTAATGCTGGCCAATCCCAAGCATCCCTTCCCTCCTTCAGCAGTACACTCTCATCGGTCACCCACAAGGGGGAACTACCCTCACTTTTCTCCTCCGCAGCAGTATCACCACCCTTTTCACCTATTTCCTGTACCACCCTATCATGAACCATTGTTGCCAGGAGATTGGCAATGGTGGAGCGCGGTTGAGGGGTGTGAACGGCCGGAGCAGGGGAAATCGCCACAGGATTGCGATGCGGAGTTTCACTCATAGCACTCCGAGCCTTTTCCACTGCTCCCTTTGTTTTCTGCCCGAGATCTCCTCTCCTGTTCAAGTTACCCTCCTGAGGCAATCGCTTTGCTTGCTGCATCTCTTGCTGGCCATCAGGTTGCTGCTGCTCTTCTGCTTCCTCAGATAAGCGGGGTGTCACCACCCATGCGCCATGACTCATCGACTCACCTCTGGCAATTTCACATTTGATAGGGCCACGCGGCCTTTCAACTGGATGCGAGAGAGGTGACTCAGCTGCAGCTGCAACCCTCTCAGCCATCCGAGGCCTGGACCAACCAGCAGAGTTACGCCGCTGCGAGACGATATCCACAGGGCTGTACGAAGGGAGAGGAACCTGCACGGTCTTCAGTTGCATTTGCGCTTTCTGAGGTGCCTCGAAAACTGCTGCTGAGACTCCAGGAAGGGGAATCTGCAGCGTCTCTAGTGGCATTTCCGGTCTGCAGTGCAACCACCCCCCCATGCCCAACTCAACACCTGAGCCTTCAATCACTCTTTCTCGTTTTTGCTGAGTGGTTGCCGAATCTGGCACGCCTGGCAGCGGAAAATTCGTCTTTGCATTAGGCCCCCGCAGCTCCCGGGCAGCTTTGTCAAAGGCTCGGGCAGCAGCTTCGGGCGAGGAGAACGTTCCGAGCCACCGGCGAATGTTCCGGGCGGCATCTTCGATCTCCGCCACCCATTTTCCAGGACCCCTCTGCCTCACTCCCCTGTATTTCCGCACAGGTGATTGCTGCGGCTCCTGTTCCTCTGGCGCTGTCCCCCCTCCCTCTTGAGCACACTGTATCTTCCCCTCCTCTGCTTTGCAGAGACGAGGAGAATGGGTACCACTGACCCTAAAGATACACGCGCTAGAAGCACTCTCCTCAGGAGCAGAATGGGCAGTGTCGGCAACAGCAGCAGTGGCAGCAGCGTCGGCGACAGCCGGGGCTGCAGCGGCAGTACTAGTGCCAGAACCATTTGCAGCAGCTGCAGTAGCAGCAGCCAAGGGCATGAAAGACTTGAGAACCCGCTGCAGGAATTCAGCATCAAGCCCCTCTGAACTACCAGACGCCCTTGCAGCTGTCAGATACTGCTTCAATACTTTCTGCACGGCAGATACGGTATGCTGCAAAGCGTTAGACCTGTCAGCAGCATCAGTAGAGGCAGAAGAAGGAGAAACTGCGGCAGCAGCAACAACAGAAGAAGCGGCTTCTTCACTCGCCCGTCGAAGCAGCTCTTGCAGGGCTGCGCAGAGCAACGCCAGCAGCGCCACCTGTGTGTGCTCCAGCTGTGTGCTGTGATCAGCAAAGGCCCCAGCGGTTTCCCCCAGCAGAGCATGGCATGCTGCCACAGCATGGGGAGAGAGTGCAAGTGCCCCACACACATTGATCTGCTGTTGCTGCTGATGCTGTTGCTGCTGCTGATGCTGCTGATGCTGCTGGTACTGCTGCTGCTGCTGGTACTGCTGCTGCTGCTGGTACTGCTGCTGCTGCTGGTACTGCTGCTCCTGGTACTGCTGCTGCAGAAATTGAACATCGTCACGCCTCCACACAGCTTCTTCCACATCGTCCAGGCTCTTGCACTCGCCTTTGCGCTGTAACATATCACTCGTCGACTCGAAATTCCAGAATTCCTCTCCATGATGCCCCCAAGATTCCAGGCTCCTGCACTCGCCTTCGCCTCGAACGCGCTTCTTGCCACGATGCTGCGGCTGCGGCGTTGCTGCTGCTACGTCCTGCCGCCCTTCACGACAACCTTCACAAAGAGATGGAGCAGCGGCAGCAGTAGAGGCGTGTTGCCGACTCATCCAGCTCACGCATTCGCAGATCGTATTCCATGGCCGTTTCCCCCCGAAGACCCCCTTCGCGTGCTCAGCTCCCCTTGGTCCCATAGGCTCTAGAATACCCCCCAGGCCTCGTCTCCTCTTTCCTTCAGCCATGGTCATGCCGTCTGCCAGACGAATGGTTGCGAGCGTGGCAATGGTTGAGTTAAGGCCGGCGCTCGTCTTAGAACTACGGAATTCCTCGATACGAGGCTCACTCATCACCATGCAAGCCCTAGATCGGAGAGTGAAGATACCAGGATTTTGAGTTCTAAGGAACTGGCGATACCTAATGCACGTACGGAAACGGACGAGGCGATTGCGATTGAAATTCGGGGTTTCGCTACCAAATACAAGTGCGAAATTTGACGAGGTGTTTGGGAAGTATACTCGTATACGCGTGCAGACTACTGCTAGTTTTTGCTGTTTGGACTCAGATTTCTAGCTGTCGGAGCTTCCTAAAGGAATCCCCTGCGTTACAGTCGGTCCTTCTCGATCACGCAAATGTGAGAGTAATAAAAGCGCTTGATTTCACGTTCACGTTTTATCTTGCGTTGCATGAAAAAGGGCGCTTCGAACTTGCTTTCCGTTCTGTGTGAACTTCTAATCTTGTTTCAGAACCTAGGAAGGAATGGAATTGGAAATGGAATGGTGGGTTGGAAATGGAATGGAATTGGCCTGGCTTCTGAGATTTATTCCCAAGTGCGGTGAGGGGGGTGGGGAGAGGAAATTTTGCGCGCGTCTCGGCGAAAGCGATGATTTGCTTGGTGAAGTTGTTTCACGCGTTAGTGAAGCTGCCAGCTGGTGTCTGGTCGTTGACTGCCAGCTACCAGCACATTCCGGGGCAAGACCGTCAGTGTGCCCCAGCTGTCATTAGTCCCTTCGAGTTGACGAAGGGTTTACGAAGTCAGCGTGCGGTCCACGAGATCGCGAGCGAACAGCGATGGCACTGTAGAGGGCACATCGCGTTTTCGCACCCGCTGGGAAGGTCTCATTGAGCGGCAAAACTGACGGCTTGACGCTATTACCTGTTACTGAAAGCCGGATTGACCGATTGTTGAGCATCCACGTGTCCAGCACTCCAAACTACCTGGTCAGCGAAAGTCGAAGCAGGTATAATGCATCTGCGAATCACAGTGGAGGAAGTGTACAGTGAGTTGCAGCGAGAATCACAGTTCAAGTAATAACAGTAAAGAAACAAACACTTCCACGGCTTCTAGAATCTTCACATATAAAAACATAATTACTACATGATGTCGTCCAGGTCGTCCGCTAACATAGGCTTAACGGTTAAGCAGTCCATCTTCATCAAACATTCCGTCTTCACATCGGCCACCGGCGAACGAATCAAATCCATGCGGCATCCAATATCCCTCGCCTTCCCCGCAGAGCACAGTGTCTCGTACCGCATCCTTAGCCGCTTTCCTGCCCAATTCAGATTCCACCGAGCCTGACGCACAAACGTCCGAGCCTCCCCCAAAAGCACCTTCAAATCCTCCAAATCCTCCTTAGTCACATTCACCAGCCGATCCTCGTAAAAATATTTACGACAATCGGGAACACTGGAGCACTTCCGCACTGTCAGCGTCTCGAACTCCTCGTCCAATGGCTGCTTGGCACCCGGCCGCAGCTGATGGAGAAAATAGCTCACGCCAGCCTGGACCGCCATGAAATAATACCGCGGGTTGAACGTGTTGTGCGGCATTATTTCCAAAACGACGGAGCGGTTTCGGGCGAAAGCGGCGGCGCTTGTGAGGCCGGCACCATGCACCCCCACAATGACCTCGGCGTTGAGAACCGCTTCATACTGCTGGCGGAAGGACAGGCGCGTGAAATCCGCCCTGCGAATCTGCGGAGTGGGAGAGGGGAGAGGTGGAGGTCGGGGTTGGGTAGTGGAGAGAAGGGAGGGGGGTGCTTGTGAGGCTGGCGCCGTGCAACCCCACAATGACCTCTGCGTTGAGAACCGCTTCATACTGCTGGCGGAAGGACAGACGCGTGAAATCCGCCCTGCGGATCTGAGGGATGAAAGCCGGGTGGGGGGGAAGGTAGAGGGAAGGAAGGTAGTGCGTGTTGAGGGAAAATAGAAGGGAGGGGGAGCGTGTTGAGGGAGGAGAGAAGGGAGGAGGGAAGGAAAGGGATACCTGTGAGGCCAGCTCCAAGTCAACGTAAGGGCTTTTTATCCTAAGGTTTGTCCGGACTGGATTTGCTCACCTTAAAGCCCATGTCATAAAAGAGATCGTACAGTGCTCCGTCACTCCCATCATCCAGAATTCGCCGCCCGCCCACGTTCGTCCTGTTCCTCCGAATGAATAGTAGCTGCACGCGCGGCTTGGCACGGGCGCTGGGGCTGTCGCCAAGTGGCAGCGGCGGATTGGGCAGCCCGAGGGACGACCCGAGGTGGGCTTTAAACATCTCGGCTTCTGAAGGACCACCGGGGTAAGTTATGGCTTTAAGTTTCCCCGGGATGACCACCTTTCCGAAGCACAGAGGCCGGGTTTCCGAGGCTGCTTCAAACGCTGGCTCAAACTCAACAAGGCCTCCGGCTAGAGGCTCTGTGCCAATAAACCTGTTCACACCCATCCAAAATCATCCAAACGCACCCAAACCCATCCAGATCATCCAAACCCGTCAATACGGGATTGGGGAAGGGGGAAAAGGCGACAAAATAAACTTAACAAGTCCTCCTTCCACTGCCTCTGTGCCAAGAAAAAATGTCCAAGCCTGTCCAAGTGTAAGCAAAGGCCTGTCTAAACCTGTCCAAACCAGACTCAACCCTTTCCACACACACACACACACACACACACACACACACACACACACACACACACACACACACACACACACACACACACACACACACACACACACACACACACACACACACACACACACACACACACACACACACACACACACACACACACACACACACACACACACACACACACACACACACACACACACACACACACACACACACACACACACACACACACACACACACACACACACACACACACACACACACACACACACACACACACACACACACACACACACACACACACACACACACACACACACACACACACACACACACACACACACACACACACACACACACACACACACACACACACACACACACACACACACACACACACACACACACACACACACACACACACACACACACACACACACACACACACACACACACACACACACACACACACACACACACACACACACACACACACACACACACACACACACACACACACACAACACACACACACACACACACACACACACACACACACACACACACACACACACACACACACACACACACACACACACACACACACACACACACACACACACACACACACACACACACACACACACACACACACACACACACACACACACACACACACACACACACACACACACACACACACACACACACACACACACACACACACACACACACACACACACACACACACACACACACACACACACACACACACACACACACACACACACACACACACACACACACACACACACACACACACACACACACACACACACACACACACACACACACACACACACACACACACACACACACACACACACACACACACACACACACACACACACACACACACACACACACACACACACACACACACACACACACACACACACACACACACACACACACACACACACACACACACACACACACACACACACACACAACACACACACACACACACACACACACACACACACACACACACACACACACACACACACACACACACACACACACACACACACACACACACACACACACACACACACACACACACACACACACACACACACACACCTGCATTCCTCACCTCCTAGCGGCCATGCTGGCCTTCTTGAGCGCCATCTCTCCTAGCATCGGCGCCACTGCCAGGCCCAGCAGCTGCCAGCCCCAGCAGCTGCCTCATTGCTTACCCCGTGTCACAGCAAGATCCTTTGCAGCACACCTCACCTCCTGGCGGCCATGCTGGCCTTCTTGAGAGCCGTCTCCCCCAGCATCGGCACCACTGCCAGGCCCAGCAGCTGCCGCAACACCACCACGTGCCAGCTGTCCTTGCCCGCTGCTTGCACGCTGTTGGGGTAATAAAAGAGGAAATGGAATGCAAGGATACATAAGAAGAGGCGGGTAATGTATATGCTTCAGTCCAGAATTGACTTTTGAGTCGACTCAAAAGTCAACTCGAAGGGGACACAGAAAGCAAGGATACATAAGAAGAGGCGGGTAATGTATATGCTTCAGTTCAGAGCCCCAGCAACACTACTACCATCCTCCCAATAATCTGCTGCTTCAAAGCCAGGCATTCTCAACCCTAAAGTAGGGATGATTACAGAAAACACATGCAAAATTTCCTCCTTACTATTGACAATTAGGACCACCTGCAAAACGCTCCACGTCGGCAATTAGGCTGAACAGTTATGGTGCTTATTAGCTGAAACAACATGCTTGCTTAAAAGAAAATCTTACGCTTGCAGCAGCTGGGGGGCGCGTGGGAACATGAAGTGATCCACTGGGTGGGGTAAGGCTAGCTTAGAAGCGTTGTTGATTAGAAGAAGCTGACCCACTTTGCCTGGCGGAAGGAGGAAAGGGAAAGAACGGGCGAGGATGGTAGAAGCAAGGGCAGCGAGCGGAAACTTAGGAAAGGGGGACCCACCATTCGCGAAAAAAAAAAAAGCAGGACACCTGCTGAAAATGCAGCGTTAATAACAGTTAGAACTGTCGCATGAGCTGTTCTGCAACTAGGAGTTTCAGATAGGAAGCGGTAAGAAGAGACAACTGCTTGGGAAGTTGAAGTAAAGAAAAGATGAAAGATGGAGGAGGGAGAGGAGAGGGAGGGGTGAGGAAAAGCGGGAGGAGAGGGGGGAGGGTTGAGGAGAGGGGGGAGGGTTGAGGAGAGGGGGGAGGGTTGAGGAGAGGGGAGGGATGGGGGATGGATGGGATGGGAAGGATGAACATAGGGTTGACTGATTACAGTGATGAGCACTGCAGACAGCAAATCTATACAGAACCTGTGCAAGAAAATCAGAATCGTACCGAAGAATGACGCGATGTTGAGGCAATCCGCGTCAAGAGGCTGCAGGTACGTCGTGCCTTTCCGCCACTCTATGCGCTCTCTCCCCTTGCGCCACCTGGCAGAGAGGGAAGGAAGAGGGGGAAGTTTTTTTCCAAGTTTCGATCCTGTTGCTTTAAGCGATTTCCAATCTTCAGAGTTGCAGCTCTTCCGCTATGAGTGAAGTTCCGCCACTCTATGCGCTCTCTCCCCTTGCGCCACCTGGCAGAGAGGGAAGGAAGAGGGGAGTGCAAGGACGAATGGCTGCAGGTACGTCATGCCTTTCCGCCACTCTATGCTGTCTCGGCCCTTGCGCCACCTGTTAGGGAGGGACGAGGGGGGTGTGGGGGAAGGGAGGCGGACGAGGGAGGTACGGAGGGAATGGGGGGGAAGGAAGAGAGGGGAGGAGAGGAGGAATGGCTGCAGGTACGTCATGCCTGCTCGCCACTCAATGCGCTCCCTCTCCTTGCGCCACCTGGCAGAGAGAGGGGTGAGGGGAGTGCAAGGGAAGGGCAAAGGCTGGCAGCAAACTCAAAGGAGGAATGGCTGCAGGCACGTCGTGCCTGCTCGCCACTCAATGCGCTCCCTCTCCTTGCCCCACCTGCTAGGGAGGTGAGGAAGGGAAACGAGGGAGGGGGGAAGGAGGTAAGGAGGTAAGGAGAGAAAGAATGATGCGCTGTTGAGACAATCCGCGTTTAAAGGCTGCAGGCACGTCGTGCCTGCTTGAACGTCCTCTCTCTCCTAGCGCCACCTGTCAGGGAGGGATGCGCGTGGCGCAAGGGGAAACACTGGGAACAAACTAATAGGAGAGGAGAGGCTGCAGGCACGTCGTGCCTGCGCGAATGTGCTCCCTCTCCTAGGAGGTAGCGCCACCTGCCAGGGACGGATGCGCGTGGCGCAAGGGGAAACACTGGGAACAAACTAATAGGAGAGGAGAGGCGAGGCTGCAGGTACGTCGTGCCTGCGCGAATCTGCTCCCTCTCCTAGCGCCACCTGCCAGGGGGATGGTATCCTAATCACACACGCCATGTTTTCCGACGGCTTACCCCTTGTCGCGCTGTCCAATCCCGTCTATCGGCGCCTCCTTTAAGGTGATCCGTAAAATCCGGCGGAATTTATCCAATCGGCGACACGTCACCGGCACGAGAGGGTTTTCCTCCTGCAGCAGCCGCTGCCGCCGCCGCTTTTCGCGGGCAGTCTCGTTTCCAGCGCCGTTCTCCGCCGCCTCCGGGAGCGGCGCGCGGATGCAGGGCTGCGACCCGAAATCCCCGACAAGAGCGGATCCGTTATAGCACACGTTGTGGCAGACGCAGAGCGACTGCCAGCAGCAGAACGAGTTGCGGACGGTGTAGCAGCTGCAGCCCGCGGGTTTCTCCGCGGACGCTGCGGCGGAGGCGGAAGCGGAAGAGGCGGAGGCGGAGAGCGTGGCGGAAGAGGCGGAGGCGGAACGGCGGGAAGCGGCGGGGGAGATGGATCGTGACGCGGAAACTCGCGCGTTCCCCCTCCGCGAGCGCGGATCGGGACGCAAGCCGGTTCTCCCCGCGCCCCTCCCTCCGCCTCTTCCCCCGGCCCTTTCCCGAGCAGGCTCGGCGGAAGGAAGAGAGGAGAGAAGGAGGAGTAGGGGAATAATAACGGCGACCAGAAAGACAATGCGAGGTGTACTAGCCATGGCTTCCGGGCTGATCGATCACAGCGCCAATGATTAGCGAAAAAATGCCACCAGAAAGGCAGCCTCTGATTCGTAATTTTTCAGCTGCCGCTTGAAATGTTGGCGAGGTGGGAGCAAATTTGCAAGTCCGCTGCTCAATATCCGGCCTCGGATTCCGAACGGCTGGCGAAAATGCGGAGGCGGGATGAAGCGGAGAGCGAGAAATGAGAGCAGTACGAAACGGAAGCAGAAGTATGTCGCTCAGCCTATCAATGCCTGGCAACTATTCTCCTAGAACGTCCATGGATTGAAGACGGCCAATGTTCAGGCGTTCTCTATTCAGCCTAGTGACCTGGTCTGTCCGCTCCAGCTGATATTGCCAAGGTCGAAATGGGCGCGGATTTCTCAAGAAGGGACTGGTGATGGGGAAAAGGGGCTTTGCTGCGGGGAGATGGGGAGGAGGGGGTGTGGTGTGGGGGGAATTGATGATGTGCGAGTGCGACGAACTCAATACGGTTTAGTAAGATGGTTTTCGAGCTAGAGCGGTCGTTTCAGAATATCCAACGGTTGGTTAGGCTCAATGCGAACACAACGAAAAAGCTGGCTCGGCATTCCCGAGACTGTCGGTGGTGTGGCGAAAAAAATGCAACTGCAAGGGACGGCATAAACCTGAAAATATATGTGATAGTTGATCGTTTTAGCCAAGTACACTTTTAGAATCATTGGCACTCTGTGTAAACTCAACCCGAAGTTCCAGCCACTCGCCCCACCTACACCACTCAACAATAGAATGTTTCTATGTATAGAACGGTTCAGACTATCACACTGCACTTGTTTTTGTTGTTTTATCTTGCATGGTGGTGCTTGTTGCTCCACTGGCACCAGCTTTAGCACCGCCAGCACTGGCACCACCAGCCACATCAGCAATCAAGCCTGCAGTACCAGAAGCAGCACCTGCTGAGGTGGTAACCGGAGCAGAGGTAACCTTGGCAGACGTAACCGGTGCGGATGTAACCTTTGCAGATGTAACTGGTGTGGATGTAACTAGTGCAGTGGTAACCTGTGTAGGGCTGACGGGCCTGGCACCTGAAGCAGCAGCAGTTGCAGGTTTAGCAGATGCAGCAGCAGTAGCAGCAGCAGCAGCAGCAGCAGCAGCAGCACTAGTCGCACCAGCAGCAGCATGGGCAGGAACAGCACTGGCCGTCCCACCAGAAGCGGCAGCAGCTCCGCCAGTACTCCCAGCAACAGCACTACCTGCTGCAACAGCTGCTGGTTTGGCTGGGCTTGCAACAGCAGCAGCCCCACCAGCAGCAGCACCACCAGTAGCTGGAGGAGTCTTTGGCTTAGCTGCCGGTTGAGTGTCTGACAAAGGCTTGGCCTGACTTGTGCCCGCTGCCCCTGCTGTTGTTACTGCTCCTGCTGCTGCTCCTCCTGCTGCTGCTCCTCCTGCTCCTGCTGCGCCTCCTGCTGCTGCTGATGATGGAAGAACATACGTTGCAGGCTTGGGGGCTGTTGGCGCAGGTTTGGCAGCTACCTTGGCCGAGGCTGCTGGGCTGGCTGTCACCGAGCCTGCGACTGCACCCGAGCCTGCGGCAGCCGAGCCTCCAGCTGCCGAACCTGGCTTTCCTTGCATGAGCTTAGCCAAAGCCTGGCTGTCAGCTTCGGAGATAGTTGAAGTGGTGGGGGTAGGCGTGCGGATGGGAGTAGATGTAATAATTGGAGTAGCCTTGGCTGTTGGGGAAGATGTGCCGGTGTTGGGGATAGATGTGCCGGTGTTGGGGGTAGATGTGCCGGTGTTGGGGATAGATGTGGCACCGACAGGAGTAGATGCGCCAATAGCAGCAGGCAGGGCAACAGGTGTTGCTGGTGTGTTGGCAGCTGCTGTAGCAGTGCTTGGGGGGACTGTGGTTGCTACAGCCGCTGAAAGTGGAGTAAGGCGAGGAGTGAGGAGGGCTGGCTGTGCTACAGCTGGTGCTACAGGAGTGGCAGGTAATGGCTGTGATACAGCTGCTGCTCCAGGAGTGGTAGACACCAGCTTTGCTACAGCTGTTTCTGCAGCAGGAGTGGCAGGCAATGGCTGTGATACAGCTGCAGGAGTGACAGGTACCAGCTTTGCTACAGCTGCTCCTGCAGCAGAAGTGGCAGGCAGTGCTACAGCTGCTGCTACAGGAGTGGCAGGCACAGGTTTCGCTACAGATGTTGCAGGAGCGACAGGTACCAGCTTTGCTACAGCCGCTGCCGCTGCAGGGGTGGCAGGCACTGACTGTGCTACAACTGCTGCTGCAGGACTGGCAGGCAGCGTCTTTGTTACAGCTGCTAATAGGGACGGGGATGATACTGCAGGGCGTGGTGTTGCTGATGGTGTTGCTGTTGTTCCTGCAACAGGCTTCACTGTTGCTGCTGACGTGGCAGGTGATGCAGGTGATGCAGGTGGTGACGTGGCAGATGTGCCACCCGTCCCACGAAGCATGGTGCCACCTGCACCTACTCCTCTCCCTTCAACTACTCTCCCTTCACCTCCACCTGCTGCCGCCCCTGCTATCACTCCGGTGCCTCCTTTGCCTCCTGCTGCTGCTCCCAGAGCGACTCCACCTGATAATGCCCCTGCAGTCACTCCTGATGTACGTCCTGTGGTGGCTTTGGCTGCTGTTCCCATAACACCTGCACCTGCTGCTGTCCCTGCTAATGTTCCTGTTCTGCTACCTGCGGTGACCATAGGGCTAGGAGAGAGAATGCTTTTGCTGCTGGTAACCGGAGCAGAGGTAGTCGTAACAGTGGCAGGAGTGACAATAACAGGAGTGGCATAAAGGAGAGAGGAGGCTGGCTTGGTCGGCAGATTCGGTTGCTGCGATTGTGCTTGGAGTGAAGTGGATGCTGCTGATGTGGATGTGGGCAGACCTGAGGTGGATGTAGGCAGAGATGACGAGGATTTATCCACTGCCACGTCATCAGAGGAAGGCACATCCCTCAGCAGATTCTCAGCCTCGTCAAGCCCAAGAATAGGGTCTGAATTTAAACCTGAACCTGAACCTGAACCTGCACCTGAACCTGCAGTTGAACCAGAAAATGACTTTGGCTCAAGGTGCTGCTGTTGCAGTGTTTGCTTCTGCTGCTGAAGTGCCTGCTGCTGCAGCATCTGCCCTTGCTGCATCTGCCCCTGCTGCATCTGCCCTTGCTGCATTTGCAAATTTGTCTGCTGCGGCAATCTAGTCCCTTGTGCTCGGCCAAGCACCTGAGATCCCACTGTCTCTCGTGCTTCCTGCACTCCTGGCAGCTGCATTGGCTGCTGATGCATTTGCTGTTGCTGCTGACCTGCCCCTTCCCGCCTGCCACCATCTGCCACAGCTGAGCCCCATTCTGATCCCTCTTTCCTGATTACTCCTCCCTCACTGCCACCCAGCTTTTGAGGCGCCTCAAAAGTCGTCTCCCCCCTGCCACCATCTGACACTGCCACAGCCGAGCCCCATTCTGATCCCTCCTTCCTTATTACACCTCCCTCACTGCCACCCAAACCGCTGTCACCGCTGCTGCTGCTCCGGCTGATGCTGCCACTGCTGATGCTGCTGCTGCCGCTGCTGATGCCATCGCCGCTGCTCCTGAGGCTGCCAGTGCTGCTGCTGCGGCTGCCGACACTACCCTGGCTAGCAGCAGCCGTCCCTCTCCTCTTCCTCCTACGCACTCTCTTAGCCGCCCTCATCTCACCCTCCATTCCCCCATCCAAATCACCCTCCCCTCCCATCCCCACACCTGCCTCCCCATCCCCGTCACCCTCCGCATCTCCATCCCCATCCCCATCCCCCTCCGTGCTTCCACCCTCCTCTCCCTCTCCCTCAGCTACCCCTGCTCTCTCTCGCTCGCTCTCCCCATCCCCCTCTTTCTCCTCCTGCTCCTCCTTTTCCTCACCCTCCTCCTTCTCCCCTCCCACGCCCTTCCCTTCTCCGCCTCCCACTCCCCCCTCGTCCTCCCCCTCTGCATCATCTTCCACAGCTTCTGGTCCCTGCACGCCCCCCTCTCCCACCTCACCACTAAACTCACCCCTATCAACAGCAGCACCAGCAGCAGCACCAGAAACAGCAGCACCACCACCAGTAGCAGATCCCCTGCCAGTACCAGCACCAGCACCAGAAGCGGAACCAGAGCCATAATCAGAACCAGAAATTCGAGTATCAATGCCCCCGTTGGCAGCAGCAGCATCAATGCCCCTGTCTACAGCAGCAGCCATAGTGCCACCACCACGCGCCCCAGCCTCTTCCTCCTCCCCTTCCACTCCCCCCAGCCCTCGCAGCACCTCGTCATCCTCCTCATGCTTCTTACCCTCTCCCTCTCCCTCTTTCGTCCCTGCGTTCCTCATTCCTGCATCCCCTCTTACATCCCCTATGCCTGCATTCCTCTCGCCCTGTGCTTGCGCCAGTGCACCATGTACTCCCCCTGCTGCGCCCTGTGCCTGCCCCAATGCACCCTGTGCCTGCCCGGCCACGCCCTGGCCTCCTTTGGAGTCAAAGTCCCCTGTAAGATCCGATACTTGCTCCCTCCCCCCTCCGTCTGCAACATCCATGGCTCTTCCTGCAATATCCAGTATCCTTCCCCCTTCCCCTTCCCCTCCCCCTTCCGCTCTCCCTCCCCCTATCCCTTCCCCTCCCCCTTCCGCTCTCCCTCCCCCTACCCCTTCCCCACTCTCCCCACCTTCCACTTCTCCCTCCCCTGCCCCTTCCCCTTCATCCTTAAAAGCCCCGGTCCGCACATGGTGACTCTCTGTCTCATGATCCACCTCCACCCCATCCTCTGCCTCCCCTCCTCTCCCTCTCTCACTCCCCCTCCCCCTCTCACCTTCCCAACCCCCCTCACTTTCACCCTCACCAGAAACACCTCCGCCCATCCCACCAGCCCTACCACCAGTATCACTGTACGGTAAACCCTGCGGGGTTGTATCGGGGACGACAACTCCTTGATTCACAATCTCTCGCTCTCTCAGCAGCTGCTGCTGCTGCAGATCCCCCCCCTCAGCTCCTCCCCTCTCTTCCTCCCCCGCCTCTTCTCCCTCCCTCTCGCCTCCTCCCGTCTCTTCTGCTTCCCCCCCGTTTCCTCTCCCTTCTCTCTCCTCCCTTAGCGCCTCCCCCTCCCCCTCTGGTATCCCCCCCTCCTCCTGTGCCATCTCAATATCTGACTGCCCCAACCTTCCCTCCTCCACCTTTCTTTCGCCTTCATCCCCTTCGGCATCCCTCCCCCTCCCTCTCAACTCGTCCTCTCTCCTCTCTCCTTGCCCCTGCCTTTCAAACTGCCCCTGTCTTTCCACCCTACCCACTCTTTCCATCTGCCCCTCTCCCGCCACCTCCTGGTCGGTTGCCCCTTCTCCATCCAGCTCCTCATATTCTGCTGTGGACCGTTTCCCCACGAGCCTAGCTGCTGCTTCCAATACCGGATCACCTCTTAGCGAATCCGCTGGGACAGTGTCATCAGGACCCCCAACGCCGGTAGAAGCTCCAATGCTTCTCAGACCACCACCACCACCACCACCATCAGAAACACCAGCACCAGCAACATAAGCACCAGCGGCGCCAGCACCAGCAGCACCAACACCATCGCTCCTAGCGACTCCAATCCCGCCCTCTCTCACAACCACCCCTCCTACGCCTCCTCCCACCATCCCATCCTGCCCCATCCTGCCTGCAACCCTCCCCCTTCCACGAGGCCCCACCCGCCCACTAACCCTTATATCCCCGTCCTCAGTACCACCTTCCTCAGCCCCAGCCTCCCCAAATCCCGCCCTCTCCATCCCGCGTTCTCCTCTCCTCCCCACCTCCCTCTCCCTCATACCATCTCCCTGCGATTCCTGTTCTGTTCTCGGATCTAGCTGCTGCCCTGTTCCTCCTTCCCCTGCACTCAGCAGCCCAGGAGTCTTCTGTTGCACCATGCTTGCCCCAGCGCCAGCAGCATCTGCTCTCAGCACAGCAGCACCCTCCTCTTCCCTAGTTGCTAAGCCATTGAGTAGGGATGTGTCTGGTGTGACTGGAGCGAAAGTTCCTATAGCAGAGGCAGAATCCCCACCATCACCATCAACAGCGCCACCACCGCCACCACCACCAACCCCACTGCTACTGCCACTGCTGCTACTGCCACCGCTGCTACCGCTGCTGCTGCTGCTGCTGCTGCTGCTGCTGCTGCTGCTGGGATCGTTGATACTAACACCAAAATCGCTGCTGCTCTCACTGCTGTTTTCACTGCCGCTCACACTGCCATCGTCCCTCCTCACTCTTGACTGAGCTGAAAAACCGCCTATGAACCCCACCAGGAGCAGCATCACCACCATCACTACAGAACTAACCAGGCAACACAGAATCACTCCTCTCCTTCTCTTTTTCCTGGATGATAATGGCACGCCCGCCCCTACCTTCCCCCCGCTCCCCATCCCCCCTCCCCCCGTTCCCCCTCGCCCTGCGCCCCCCGCCCCAATACCACTCCCCCTGGGTGAAGCTCCCCACCCCCAGTTGCCCCCTCCGCCTGCCCCTCCCCCGGATTTACTCTCCCAGGAGGGGGATCTTCCCCCTGCCTTTGTCTCCCCCCCATCCCACGAGCCCCAGTTCCCCCAATCCCCGCTCCCCCCGCTTCCCCCCTTCACCCCAACTCCCCCTCTGTTGCCCCGCCACTCCCCATCCCCTGCCCCTCCTCCCCCTCCCCTTCCCCCGTCACTGGGTCTATTTAGGGAATCAACCCCCAGTCCCCTGACCCTCCTTCCCCTTACGTCTTCTGCCAGTCTCGCTCCAGAAAAAGACATGGAAAGCCCACCAGCGGCAGAAGAAGACAAGGCCTGCCCACCAGCAGCGGTGGCAGCTACAGGGGATAAGGATTCCCAATCTGAATTATCCCAGCCTCCGCTGCTGCTACTATCGTCACTATCAACATCAGCACCAGCAGCATCAGCAGCAGAAGCAGCAGCAGCAACACCAGCAGCAATACCACTGGCAACACCACTGCTGCTGGAAACACCACTCTTACTGGTAACACCAGTGCTACTGCTGGTAACACCTTTCGAGGGTTTCACTGAGACTGCAGCTGCTAGCCCTAGTCCCTCCCACCCACCCGTGCTGCCCTTATCCCACTCATCTGTCTCCACCTCTGCCCCCCACCCTTCGTCCTCCTCCCCTTTATCACTCCCCCCCCACCCACCGCCCCCTTTATAACCACTCCCCCTACTAGCACCCAGGCCTGCACCAGAGGTTTGACCACCGGAGCTGGAAGGTCGACCGGTGGAGCTGGAGGGGCGGTCAGAAGACACTCCCAAGCCTAGGATGGCTCGGCCAGTTCCCGAACCTGATCGCTTCGGAACTCCAAATTCCGGACTTGCTCCTGTACCTCCGCCAACAAAACCACCTCCATGTGTCTGCTGCTGGTATTGCTGCTGCTGCTGCCGCTTGGGAGGGGTTTTAAACTTCCTCTCAATAAACCCAGACAGCACGCCACTAGGCTGAGTCAGGTACTGCTTTTCGGGATCATATCTCTCTCTCTCCGGCCCGCTTTCCCTCCCTCCTGGCGGACGGCGCGGGGGGGACGCGGCTGTAGCAGCGCGGGCGAGTTGAGCCGCTACAGCCGCGATTCCAGCAATTCCCGAGGGAAGCTTCCCGCTTGACAACCCGGCAGCGCCAAGAATGTCATCAGCGTCTTCCTTAGTGAACCAAGCAGAGGAGGCGGAGGAGGAGGAAGAGGCGCCTGGCTTATGCTGCTGCTCATGCTGCTGATGGTTCTGAGAGCCAGAAGACGCGTAGGAGGATAGCTCGTCCGTGTCTTGTGGGAGCATGTGGGTGGGGACTGAGGGAGGTGCGGCTCTGCTGGAGGCGTGGAGGACGAGAGGCTTGGGTGAAGCGGGGTCATGCTTCGGAGAGGAGGCTCGGGGAGAGACAGGTTGGGGGGATCTGTGAAGGGGAAGGGTTGCCGAAGCAGGGAGTGTGGTTTGGTGGGTGCAGTAGAGGACAGGTGAATGCACCAAAACTCGGGATTAATAACCGCGATCGAAATCTTTGCGGCATCAGCACGGATTCCTACGAAACGATCACTAGTACAGCCAACGGGGTTGCAAAGTTACGATTTTGTATTCTATTCACAATCTGACCCATACTGTTAATGAAATGACAAAAAGCTTTGACTCCAGTGCAAAAACGCCACATTACTTCAAATGGATAATGCGACCATACATGCATAGCGTAAATTACTCCGAAGAATAGTGAAACAAAATCCTTTACCTAACGCACGGCAAGAATTCTGCAAACTTAACTGACAAATAATTCCTTACCTTGAACCTGATACGACAGGACGAGTCTGCACGAGTTTCTTCTTCTTAACGACAGCCGATCCCGTGCGATGAACCGGCGCGTCGGAGCTCGGTGCAGAGCGGTTCGCAGTGGTGTCGGATCCCGTGCGATGCACCGACCCTCCGAATTGTCGCCTATCCATATCGTCGCGTACGACGCACTTGATCTGGCTCTCCTGCTAATCTCGCATTTAGCTTCGGCAATCTATCCTGAAGCTCTAGGAAACGATTCACCCGTAAAAGGTAGTTTTTTCAAGCCGTTCAACGCAGCACTCGACTCGCATTCCCGACCGAACCATGCGTGCTCTAAGCTTCACGGGCGCATAAAAAACATTCCCAGCTGAAGGTTTCGGTCTCGCAAGTCCCTACAGCCTGCTGGCAAAGGTGTTCGAAGTGCTTGTATTGCGCGACTGCATCAAAGAAAATAATGGACATGTCACATTTGTTGCATCACGCTGAAAATGGTCAACGAAAATGGGATGGGATGGGACGCCAATGCCCAACTGAAATGGAGGAGGTTGGTGGTGGCGAGGCGTGGCAGAGTTGTGGGGCAAGATCGAGGCAGGTGGAGGAGGTACGGCAATCCCAAACATACAACCAAACCCAAGCCAAGAAATGGAGACACCGAGGCCGCGTCCTCGTCGTGGAGAAAATGATGTTTTCACACGCTATTTTACATATTTGCAAATCATGAACCCTGGTCTCAATGAAAAACAATGCAAGATTCAATGAAGAAAAAATACAAGTGGGGCTAGCTGTGTCGCGGGGGGCTTGTCGGGAGGACGACACTGTGTTTTTGGCTTATCTTCTAGGGTCACTGAAGGCGCTCATCGGGGTGGCGTTGCAACGTGCGCAAGCCCGTGTCATCCTGCTTCGAGCGGCGTCTTCTATGGGGGGGATTAACGTTGACTTGGTGGACCGGGAGTGGGACGATGGCGATGCGGAAGGCGGGGCTCTCTGGGTGGAGGCCCCGTACATGGTGGATTCGCTGTTGTGATTGGGGGGGGGGGGGGGGAATGGGGTGTGGGATGGGATGTCTTGACAGGGTGTCTTGACTGGGCGTTTTGATTGGGTATCTTGAGGGGGGGTTTTATGTGTGTTGCATTTGGGTTCTTCTTGGCGGTTTCACTTTCCTTCTCCCTTTCTCTTTTCTTTTCTTTTCTTCTTTATTATTACAATAACTTGAGTGAACAAAAAAAAAACTGTTTTGTGAAAAAAAATACAAGTGCTTGGCTAAATATCAAATCTACATTGAACCGTATTCCAACTTACTGATGAAATACATTATTAGTGCAAACATTCAGAAGGCCAATAATTATAATTGCCACAAGAAGGTGGTAACAAGTTTTAGGATAATCAATCCCCCACCTCACTGCATCGCACTCAAAAGCTATTGCATCCTTTGAAACGGATTTCAAACCGGTAAGCGAACGATCGGGGGCGGTTCATCCTCCTATGTTCCTCCTGCACCAGGCACCACCAACCAACCATCAACCACCTCCACCGATTTTACCGCTGCTGGATCTTGCCAAAATGAGGGCTAAGGCAACCTCGAGATTAAGGCGCGTGTGGTCTTACAAATCTGTGAAAGTTTATGTTTTTAGGTCGGATGTAGCATCTGAACAAAACTCGACATTCTTTCCAGCGAACTTCGAATCTTGGGTCTCCAACACAGACGAGTCACAATCACACACCCAAGGTCGAACACAGAGACTCGACCTTTTAGGGATGGCGGCGAGCCGCCCGTAGGGGAGTAGGTTACCTGGTACAGCGCGACCCGTTAACGTAATGCGCAACGAAGCTCAACGACCTTCGCAAAGCGGTCGCGATGGCCTTCGTACGTGCTGAAAACAACACACACTCGCCTCACGTGCACCCGCACGTTCACTCGTGTGATTCGAGTTGAGTTCACATTTGACATTCGAACTTATGTGCCCCAAAATTCTCATGCCTTCGCAAAAGCTTCCTGACGACATTAGCGAAGCTGGTAGCCACACAAAGTTCGACCTTTTTTCCGAACTTGAAAATAGATCACACGCGCCCTTACACCAAGCAACAGTTCACCAGGCAGCAAGAGCAGCCAATCTTTGACAGGAATCGAAGTCTTGTGTGTTCACATTTCTCAGGCATCAGGGAGATTCTGGTTATCAGGGAGAGCCGGGAGCACAATGCTGACCAAAAGAGTGGCGCATCCATGAAAACATTCGCGTTAAGTAGCAACATTTCTCCTGACATCTATTGTTTGATCCACACTTTTGTAGAATCTCGGAACATTTTGACGTCGCAGAGGTACATTCTTGTCGACATTGATCAGCATTAGGTGATGTCATTTTGATTTCTCGGCAACTGGGAACACCATGGCGGAATCGACAGGCCGTAACAAGTGGGATGGAACGGGTCCCACTCGCTCTACCACCTCCGTTTCCGATTTAATGCTTGGCGAAGTCGACCTTTCTGGTAACTCCGCCCTCCAGCGTTTCGCGGCTCTCGCGGCGGAAGAAGCGGACAGAGCGCGAGGCACGCCGCATTCCTCCATCGCCGCTGCCGCCGCCGCCGCTGCCGCCGTCACGATAATTTCGGACGTTAGATCGTTCCCGGTAATCCCGGAGGAGCCGTCGAGTTCGAGAACTCAGTCGCAGCAGCACGAAGAGCACGGGTTAGGGAAATCGCAGACGCGCAATGAGGGAGCAGGAGCATCAGGAGGATCATACCAGGAGCAAAAAGCTTTAGGTTTTGGTCCGTCAGGTCCCGCTATTCCTCCTGCTGTTCCTCCTGTTCCTGGTTCTGCTGCTGCTGCTGCTGCGTCCTCTGCGTCAGTTCATCCGTTACACGGCGTCGTGACTGTTCCGGACATTCCGCTTCTTTTGCTGCGGCTGATCGATGCAGCGGCTCACGAGGACCACCCGAAGGCGCTAACGAAACTTCGCCGAATTGCAGCTGGGTTGGATACTTTGGAGAGCTTTACAAAAGGGAGGCGCGGGGAGGGGAAGGCGGGGGACGCCGAAGAGAAGACAGAAGGGGAAGAGGCCAAAGGGGTGGATACCCAAGGGGATGAAACCAAAGGCGAAGGTGTCTCTGGGGAGAAGGAGGAAGATGCAGAAGAGAAGAATGATGCTCCGGGCCACGGTGACGAATCTGGAAAAGGCGAGGAAGCGAAGGAGAACGACGCAAGCGAACCAGGAGGCAACGGGGAAGCCGCGGTGACACAGACCGGGGAGGAGTTAGGAACGCTAGGGTCGTTAGGGAAGGAGGAAACCTCGAGGTTGATTGTTGAGACTCTATTGGCGATCATGGGGGGTAGGCACGAGGAGGAGGAGATGGGCCAGGCTGGGTCAGGCAAAGGGGAGGGCGGAGAAGGAATGGGAAGCAGAAGCAGCGGCAAGAGAAGCAGCAGCATGGGTGGCAGTATGGGCAGCAGTGGTGGGCAGGGGTGGACGAAGGGAGGAGGGCCTGTGATCATGCTCACTCCCGAAGCTGCCAGGCTCGGCGCGTGGCTGCTGCCATGGCTGCCGTGCCACGAGCCTGCTGCTCACACTCCAGACGCTGAAACCGAACCTGCAGCTGAGAAGGCTGAGAATGCAGAGACAGTTGATAATTCTGAGACTGCTGAGAATGCTGAGAATGCAGAGACAGTTGATAATTCTGAGACTGCTGAGAATGCTGAGAATGCTGAGAATGCAGAGACAGCTGATAAGCCTGAAACTGCTGAGAACGCGCAATCTCAGGCGATCCAGTCAGCTTCAGATGGCGACGATCCTGCCACGTCAGCTGCTGCTGAGTCATCACCCTCTGTTGACTCCCCCGCTGCCGACCCCTCATCGACTGACTCCCCAGATCCAGCTGCAGTCCCTTCCGTTATAATCACAAGCAGCACTGCCAAAGCTGCCACTCAGCCCGCCCCAGAGCCACCAGCTAGAGCGAAACCCGGTGCTGGTCAGTTGCAAGTGTCTCCTCGCACGCGCATGGCACGGGGCATAGCCTGCGTGCTGCTCTCCTGCACGCGCAACCGCGCCCTGTGCGCCTCAATGGGGCTCGTGAGGGCGCTGCTGGCCGCTCTGAGGGTGATTCTCCTGGGAGGGGTGGACTCGCAGGGACTGCCGCCTGCTGCTGCTACTGCTGACGCGCTGTTGCTGCCAGGGAGGAGTGGCATCAGCTCGAAGAATAACGACCGTTCTAGCAGCACGAGCGCAGGTGCAGATGAGACAGGGTGTGAGGGTGAATCAACTCCAGTGACGCCATTGTTTGGAGTGGCAGATGAAGCAGCGTGGGACTGCTCCCCTCTGGTGACGGCGCTGGAGTGTCTAGCAGCGCACTCTCTCAACGTTGCTGAGCTGCAGGACTGGGTCCGATCCACCGAGGCTCTTATCCTCCCTGCTGCTGCCCCACCTGCTGCTGCTAATGCTGCTGTTTCTGCTGCTACGGCTGCTGATTCAGCTGCTGCTGACGCTCAAGATGGTCCCAGCAGCAGAAGTGGCCTAGCTGGTAGCAGTCGTGCTGCTCTCTTATTGACAGCATTGGAGCGTGCCATGGCTGGGGAGGAGGCTCGGGGGCCGTCCCATTCCTTCGAGCTGGACGGCCGAACCTCCGGGCTGCTAGGTCCGGGCGACAGCAAGTGGCCCTTTGGTAACGGTTACGCCGTCGCCACGTGGCTGTACGTCGAATCGTTTGTCGACACGTCAGCATCGGCGATCACCGCAGCAGCCAAAGCAGCAGCCATTGCAGCAGCAATCACGGCAAAGGGAGGAGGGAAAGGGTCCGCTCAGGTGACTGCTGCTCAGATCGCTGCTGCTGTAGCAGCCGCTAACTCCAATATCCTCCATTTGCCACGCCTCTACAGCTTCTTAACCATCGAGAACCACGGAATAGAGGCCTATTTCCACAAAGACACCCTCGTTGTGGAGTCTAATTGCCCTTGGACCGGCATCCGAAACGCGGTTCGTTTCCGGCACACATTCCTCCCGCGCCGCTGGTATTTCCTAGCCCTGGAACATATCTTCAAACCGTCTCTCATGGGTAAAGCAGAAAGTGAAATCAGGCTGTATGTGAACGGACGGTTGATTGAGTCCTGGCCTCTTGACCTTCCCAGAATCTCCAATCCGTTAGGGTTTCTCTGCATAGGCACCAACCCCCCTTCCGGACTGCTCTTGAACTCCTCTCAGAAACAGACAGGACCCGCCGCCCATCATCACCAGCAGCAGCGGCAGCAGCGGCTACAGTGCCCCCTGTTCGCCGAGCTCGGCCCGGTCTACATCTTCAAGGAGCCAATCGGAAGCGAGAGAATCGCCAGGCTGGCAGTGCGTGGGGGGGACCACCTGCCTGTGTTTGGGGCGGGTGCGGGGGCGCCAGCTCACATGGGGAGTGAGCTGATGATGAGGAAAGCTGAGGAGTCATGCAGTCTAGATGTGGACCTCGCACCCAGTATCCACCTCCTGTACCACCCCAAGATGCTTCTGGGAAGGTTCTGCCCAGACGCCTCGCCTGCCACTGCATCTGGTGTGTATTGTATCCCAACCCTACCATGCCCACATTCAAGTTCCATGGTTCATCAAATCCCAAACCCTGAACCTCTTCCCATCTCAGTCAGTCTCTCTCTGGTGCCTTTCAAACAGCTTTTGAGTCGTCTCAGGAAAAGAACCCGTTTCATGTCTTTGATGTTTGAGTTGCTCTGCTCCGCTCCTTTGCTGACTTTGAAGTGAAGCTGGATGGACCCATATATGCCCAATCAATCTCAAGACTCAAACCCTGAACCCTTTCTCACGCTCTCCCAGGCGTGCAGAGGAGGCCAGCAGAAGTGGTGGGGCAGGTGCATGTGGCAGCGAGGCGGCGAGGGTGGGCATGGCTCATACAAGCATTCAGCTTGGTATCACCGTCTCAAACCTCTGCACCCCACCTTCCATCCCCGCCTGTTCCCACCAGGCGTGCAGAGGAGGCCAGCAGAGGTGGTGGGGCAGGTGCATGTGGCAGCGAGGCGGCGAGCGGCCGATGCTCTCTGGGCTGCAGCAGAGGGCGGGCCCGTGGCGCTGCTGCCCCTCTGCATAGAGGCTCTGGATTTGCACTCCATGGGACCGCAGGTGAGCTGCTCTATAGTAGCAGGTGAGGTGCTGTAGAACTAGCAGGCAAGCTGGTCGTGCCACTGCTTTTAAGTGCATGTGGCAGCGAGGAAGCAAGCGGCCGATGCTCTCTGGGCCGCAGCAGAGGCCGGGCCGGGCCCCTGGCGCTGCTGCCCCTCTGCACTGAAGCCGTGGATATTGCTTTTGAGTCGACTCAAATGCTGCCCCTCTGCACTGAAGCCGTGGATATTGCTTTTGAGTCGACTCAAATGCTGCCCCTCTGCACTGAAGCCGTGGATATTGCTTTTGAGTCGACTCAAATGCTGCCCCTCTGCACTGAAGCCGTGGATATCCACACCATGGCACCGCAGGTGAGTGCTGGCTGCTTCAGTGCTTCAAGGTCCCTTTGAGCAATGCTCTCTGGGCCGCAGCAGAGGCCGCGCCGGGCCCCTGGCACTGCTGCAAATGTTTATTGAAGCCCTAGATCTCTGCACGATGGCGCCACAGGTGAGTATAATAGCAGCTTACTGCCATGGCATTTGTTTCTCCCGTTTCGTTATGGTGCTCGCCCTCTCGCCTCCTTCTCAGCTCCTCCCTCACGTCCTTCGCTTCGCATCATCGCCCGCTCCCTCCCTCCCTGTTCCCTCCCTCCCCACCTCTGTTCCCCTCCCACCCCTTGTCTTCTCTTGCAGGTTCGCTCGCCTCCTCTCTCCCTCTCCGCCTCTCAGCTCCTTCCCAACGCCCTCCGCATCATCGCCCGCTCCCTCCGCCGCCCGATGAACCGAGAAGAACTCAAGGGACCCGCCCCCGCGCTCCTTTCCCACCTCCTCCACTTCGTCCTCTCCTCGCCACCCACTCTTAACGAATCAGCTTCTAACGAATCAGCAGCTGAAGATACTAGTGGATCTATTGACAGCTCCAAGGAACATTCAATGGAGAAGAGTCGAGAGCGAGAGCGAGATAGGGACAAAGAGCTGGTCCACGCGTGCATGCTCCTGGCCCACATGCCCCGCCCTGGCGACCACCTGAAAAACCACCTGATGGAGCACCTGCTGCTGCACCTGCCTCTGTGGGCGCCCTCCCACCTGAGCACGCAGAGGGCCCTGCTTGCAGCCGTAGGGGACGCGGTCTCTCTGGAGCTGCAGGCGCTGCAATCAGTGGGAGCTGTGTCGGTACGTACTGTGTGAAGTATAGGGGAGACGATGTTGGCAGGATGGGGGGTGAAGGATGGTTGGGTGGGATGTTCTCTCAGAGAGCCCTGCTTGCAGCCGTGGGGGACGCGGTCTCTCTGGAGCTGCAGGCTCTGCAATCGGTGGGGGCTGTCTTGGTAAGACAAGGTTGGAGACAAGGGGCAATTTAGAAAGAGGGAGAGGGTTGCAGCCGTAGGGGATGCGGTGTCCCTGGAGCTGCAGGCGCTGCAATCAGTGGTTGCTGTCTCAGTAAGAGAAGGTTGGAGTCAAGTCAAGGGGTAATTTAGAAAGAGGGGTGATGGGAGGGGTGGTTTCACGCAGAGGGCCCTGCTTGCAACCATAGGGGACGCGGTGTCTCTGGAGCTGCAGGCGCTGCAGTCAGTGGGTGCTGTTTTGGTACGTTTTGTGTGAAGTGTTGGGGAGAAAGGGCGTTGGCAGGATGAGGTTGTGAGCGGTATCCCGGTATCCCGGTATCCCGGTTTCCCGGTTTCCCGGTTTCCCGGTTTCCCGGTATCCCGGTTTCCCGGTTTCCCGGTTTCCCGGTATCCCGGTTTCCCGGTATCCAGGTATCCCGGTATCCCGGTTTCCCGGTATCCCGGTTTCCGGGTATCCCGGTATCCCGGTTTCCCGGTTTCCCGGTATCCCGGTATCCCGGTATCCCGGTATCCCGGTATCTCGGTATCCCGGTTTCCCGGTTTCCCGGTATCCCGGTATCCCGGTATCCCGGTTTTCCGGTATCCCAGTATCCCGGTATCCCGGTATCCCGGTGTCCCGGTTTCCCCGTATCCCCGTTTCCCCGTATCCCCGTTTCCCGGTATCCCGGTATCCCGGTATCCCGGTATCCCGGAATCCCGGTATCCCGGTATCCCGGTATCCCGGCATTCCGGTATCTTGGTTTCCCGGTATCCCGGTATCCCGGTATCCCGGTATCCCGGTATCCCGGTTTCCCGGTTTCCCGGTTTCCCGGTTTCCCGGTTTCCCGGTATCCCGGTTTCCCGGTTTCCCGGTATCCCGGTATCCCGGTATCCCGGTATCCCGGTATCCCGGTATCCCGGTTTCCCGGTATCCCGGTTTCCCGGTATCCCGGTATCCCGGTTTCCCGGTTTCCCGGTTTCCCGGTATCCCAGTATCCCACTATCCCGGTATCCCGGTATCCCGGTATCTCGGTTTCCCGGTATCCCGGTATCCCGGTTTCCCGGTTTCCCGGTATCCCGGTTTCCCGGTTTCCCGGTATCCCGGTATCCCGGTATCCCGGTTTCCTGGTTTCCCCGTATCCCGGTTTCCTGGTATCCCGGTATCCCGGTATCCCGGTTTCCTGGTTTCCCGGTTTCCCGGTTTCCCGGTATCCAGGTATCCCGGTATCCCGGTATCCCGGTTTCTCGGTATCCCGGTATCCCGGTATCCCGGTATCCCGGTATCCGGGTATCCGGGTATCCCGGTTTCCCGGTTTCCCGGTTTCCTGGTATCTCGGTATCCCGGTATTACGGTTTCCCGGTATCCCGGTATCCCGGTTTCCCGGTATCCCAGTATCCCGGTATCCCGGTTTCCTGGTTTCCCGGTTTCCCGGTTTCCCGGTATCCCGGTATCGCGGTATCCGGGTATCCCGGTATCCCGGATTCCCGGTTTCCCGGTTTCCCGGTTTCCCGGTTTCCCGGTTTCCCGGTATCCCGGTATCCCGGTATCCCGGTATCCCGGTATCCCGGTACCCCGGTTTCCCGGTTTCCCGGTATCCCGGTATCCCGGTATCCCGGTTTCCGGGTATCCCGGTATCCCGGTTTCCCGGTTTCCCGGTATCCCGGTATCCCGGTATCCCGGTATCTCGGTATCCCGGTTTCCCGGTTTCCCGGTATCCCGGTATCCCGGTATCCCGGTTTTCCGGTATCCCGGTATCCCGGTATCCCGGTATCCCGGTGTCCCGGTTTCCCCGTATCCCCGTTTCCCCGTATCCCCGTTTCCCGGTATCCCGGTATCCCGGTATCCCGGCATCCCGGTATCTTGGTTTCCCGGTATCCCGGTATCCCGGTATCCCGGTATCCCCGTATCCCGGTATCCCCGTATCCCGGTATCTCGGTATCCCGGTATAACACTATCCCGGTATAACACTATCCCGGTATCCCGGTGTCCCGGTTTCCCGGTATCCCGGTATCCCGGTTTCCCGGTTTCCCGGTTTCCCGGTATCCCGGTATCTCGGTATCCCGGTATCCCGGTATCCCGGTTTCCGGTTTCCCGGTTTCCCCGTATCCCGGTTTCCGGGTATCCCAGTATCCCGGTTTCCCGGTTTCCCGGTTTCCCGGTATCTCGGTATCCCGGTATCCCGGTATCCCGGTATCCCGATTTCCCGGTTTCCTGGTTTCCCCGTATCCCGGTTTCCCGGTATCCCGGTATCCCGGTTTCCCGGTTTCCCGGTTTCCCGGTTTCCTGGTATCCCGGTATCCCGGTATCCCGGTTTCCCGGTATCCCGGTATCCCGGTATCCCGGTATCCCGGTTTCCTCGTATCCCGGTATCCCGGTATCCCGGTATCCCGGTATCCCGGTTTCCTGGTTTCCCGGTATCCCAGTATCCCGGTATCCCGGTATCCCGGTTTCCCGGTATAGCGGTTTCCCGGTATCCCGGTTTCCCGGTATCCCTGTATCCCGGTATCCCGGTATCCCGGTTTTCCGGTTTCCCGGTTTCCCGGTATCCTGGTATCCCGGTATCCCGGTTTCCCGGTTTCCCGGTATCCCGGTAGCCCGGTTTCCCGGTATCCCGGTATCCCGGTATCCCGGTTTCCGGGTATCCCGGTATCCTGGTTTCCCGGTTTCCCGGTTTCCCGGTATCCCGGTATCCCGGTATCCCGGTATCCCGGTTTCCCGGTTTCCCGGTATCCCGGTATCCCGGTTTCCCGGTTTCCCGGTATCCAGTATCCCGGTATCCCGGTATCCCGGTTTCCCGGTATCCCGGTATCGCGGTTTCCCCGTATCCCCGTTTCCCGGTATCCCGGTATCCCGGTATCCCGGTTTCCCGGTTTCCCGGTTTCGTGGTTTCCGGACGCTATGTCTCTGGAGCTACAGGCTCTGCAGTTGGTAGGTGTCGTCTCGGTAAGAGAAGGTTGGAGACAAGGGGTAATCTAGAAGGAGGGACAGGGCGTACTTTCATGCTTCAATTCATCCCCCGATCTCCCCCACCCACCCCTCACACACACCCTCCCTCTTCTCAGCTCCTCCTGAACGGCTGCCTCCGCTGCTACTGGATGACCTGGGAGCCCTCCTCTTGAGTTTGCATTCTTCTCCGATCTTACTACAGTGACCTCCTTTACACTCCACTTGCCCATTCACCCGTCCGCCCTCCACCACTCAGCTCCTCCTGGGTGGCTGCCGCCGCTGCTACTGGATGACCTGGGAGCCCTCCTCTTGAGTTTGCAGCTTCCCTTTCCCTCATTGACCTCCCACACCCACACCCACACCTCCCCTCGCTCTCCCACCTCCTCTCAGCTCCTCCTGAACTGCTGTCGCCGTTGCTTGGCCTGGGAGCCCTCGTCTTGAGTCTGTATGTTCGCCTTCATTGACAAGCCCCCAACCAACCACCCCCCTTGCTCTCCCAGCTCCTTCTGGACGGCTGCCGCCATTGCTACTGGATGGCCGGGAAGCCCTTCTCTGGCGCTTGCATGCTTCTTCTTATCACATCCCCTTCCACTGATTTCACCCGCCCATCCTGCTCTCCCCAGATCCTCCTGAACGGCTGGCGCAGCTGCTGATGGACGGCCTGGGAGCCCCCCTCTTGAGTTTGCAGCTTTTCTTCTCTTTGTTGACCTCCTCGACACCCCCTTCCCATCGGCCCCCACCCCCTCCTCCCAGCTCCTCCTGGACGGCTGTCGCCGCTGCTACTGGATGACCTGGGAGCCCTCCTCTTGCATTTGCAGCTTCCACTCCCATCATTTCCCTTCTCCACCCCCACCTGCCCACCCGCCCTTTCACCCACCTCTCAGCTCGTTCTGGACGGCTGCCGCCGTTGCTACTGGATGGCCTGGGAACCCTCCTCTGTCGCACAGACTGCAATACCCCTGCTCTTCCCGCTTTCCCCCAACCCATCAGCTCCTTCTGGACGGCTGCCGCCGCTGCTACTGGATGACCTGGGAGCCCTCCTCTGTGCGCCTCTGCACTGCCAGCTGGAGCCCTACTACCCGCCAGGCTGCAGAAGTGAAGGGAGAAAGGGTGAAGGCAGGAGAAGCAGAAGGAGGAGGAGTGGGAGCACTGGTGACGGGAGGGTCAGGAGAAGCGGGAGGGGCAGGGAGTGGGGAATGGAGGAGGGAGGAGATGCAGGAGGAGCGGATGGGGCTGATGGGGGAGGTGAATGGCATGGTGAATGCGGTGATGGGGGCGCTGGAGAAGCTGGTGTGTGCTGGCGTGGGGCTCGATGTGATGGGCGCAGACATGCGCGCACTTGTCTCCTTTGCCCTCTATTGCCCTCAGGCCAACCAGGTGAGGAACTTAAACCCAACCCTAACCCTAGACCCATGCGCTGGAGAAGCCGGTGTGTGCTGGCGTGGGGCTCGATGTGATGGGCGCAGACATGCGCGCTCTTGTCTCCTTCGCCCTCCAATGCCCTCAGGCCAACCAGGTAAGGAACCAAAACCCAAAACCTTGAACCCATGCGCTGGAGAAGCTGGTGTGTGCTGGCGTGGGGCTGGATGTCATGGGGGCAGACATTCGCGCTCTCGTCTCCTTTGCGCTGCAGTGCCCTCAGGCCAACCAGGTACGAAATAGATATTGAACTTACACACTCACACGAGGGTGAATGATGGTGGGCACATGGTGTTGGGCTGGATGTGATTGGGGCAGACATGCACACGCTTCTCCTCCTGTGCTCTTTCCCTCTCAGGTGGCACGGGTGCTGCTGCTGCTGCTCTACCGCCTCATGTCTCAGCCCAACAGCAGCAGACCATCAGCCTTCGTGGTGCAAGTACTTGCATCAGGCGGAGCAGAGATGCTCCTGGCCCAACAGCAGCAGCAGCAGCAGGGACTTATTCAACCTTATCCTCGTCTGCTCTCTCCTCCCTTCCCTTTCATTCCAGGTGGCACGGGTGCTGCTGCTGCTATACCGACTCATGTCTCAGCCCAACAGCAGCAGAGCATCAGCCTTTATGGTGCAGTTCCTTGCATCAGGCGGAGCAGAAATGCTCCTGGCGCTGCTGCTGCGGGAGACCCAGTATGGGGAGACCTACCCGGCCACTTTCCCGACCAAATCCGGCAGTGGGCCAATTAGAAGGCGTCTGGTTCCGGTTCCGGGCAGCGAAGGCCTTGAAGATGAGGCTGGGGAGGGGAGAGGGGAAGTGGAAGGGGGCAAGGAGGGGGAGTTAGGGGGGAAGGGTGAGGGTGAGGGTGAGGAGGAAGGTGCACAGAAGGTTCTGGTGTTTGGGGATGGGAAGGGAGGGGCGGGTGAGGGGCAAGCGGGAGAGGAGAACGGGGGAGAAGATTCAAAGGAGGGAGGGGAGGTGACAGGCAGTGGGGGGAAGGAAGGTGAGGGTAAGGGTGAAGGAGAGAGGGAAGGAGAGCAGGAGAAGGGTGAGGACAGTGAGAAAGCTTGTGGGAAAGATTCGACGAAGGAGGGTGAATCTGGGGAAGGTATGTCTGAGGAGGGGGAAAAGAAAGAGGATGTTTCTGAGAAGGAGAGTGAGGGGAAGGAGGAGGAGAAAAAGGAAGAGGAGAAGAAGGAAGAGGAAGAGAGCAAGAGTAAGCCGAAGCAAGAGGCGACAAAGGGGGGAGGCGTGTGGGATCTGAGCACTTGGAACGTGTTTCTGGAGCCTCTTGGGTTGAAGGTTGGCTCGATTGACGATAAGAAAACTGAGGCAGAGAAACCGGACTCAGCAGTAGGCAAAGAGGGTGGCGAGAGAGGCTCAAAGGCAGCAACAGGAGCAGCAGGAGGAGCAGGGGCAGCGGGAACAGGAAGCAGGAGAAGCTCTAGTGGGCTCTCGCATGAATCAGCAAGTGTGGAGCAGTCAGGAGTGGGCAAAGAGCAGGAGAGAGGATCGGAGGAGGGCGAGGAGGAGGATGGGGAGGAGGGCACTAGGAGGGGAGTAGCGGAGGTGGCAGCAGTGGTGGCGAGGCTAAGGGCGAAGCAGGTGTATGAGGACGACGCAGAGGAGAGTGCGGTGCAGGTGACAAAGGAAGGGATGGCCGTGCTTGCTCCGTGGGTGTGTGTGTCTGTGCCTCGCTTGGCCCGGACTGGCCCTGCGTCTGCTTCTTCCTCTCTGAAATCTGCCTCCAGTCATGCGAGCGGCGGTGCCGGTGCTGGTGCTGCTGCTGTGGCGGCGGCGGCTGCTGCTGTTGCGAAAGTTGCAAGTAGGGATGGGGGAGGCGGCAGCAGGGGTATTGGCGCCAGCAGCAGTGCGGGTAGCAGTGGCACAGTTGTTAAGAGTGGCAGTGGTCATGCCTCTGCTGGTAGGGCTGAGGGAAGGGTTGCATTCAGATCATCATCCTCTCATGGCGCTCCCACCACCACAGGAGGATCTGCTGCCGCTGCTGCTGCAGCTGCTGCTGCTGCTGCTGGGGTTACTGCTTCTGCTGCCACTGCTGCAGATGCTTTTTGGCTGTCTGGCTGGATGGTTGAGGGCACTGCCGTGGCTGCTGCTGAAGGTACCGCTACAGCCGCTGCTGATGCTGCTACAGCTGGTACTACAGCTGATGCTGCGGATTTTTACTTCGACAGCGACCAGGGCTTCCCGCTGACGGACGGTCCGGATGCGATCATGGTCGCGGTAATTTCAATCCTAGGGCTGCTAGCGGACTCTGGCTTCCTGCGTCTATCCGACCCATCGGTTCTGGGAGTGGTGCCAACAACACAGGGTTTGGGAGCGGTGGTGACGGAGAGGGCAGGGAAGGACCGCAGTAATGTGGGTGCGTGGGCGGTGTATGGGGTGCAGAGGGCGCTGCAGGTGGCGCCTGGGAGGCTGTTCACGCCTGCTGTGTACCATGCTCTCATGACTGCTGTGCTGCGATGCAAGGTGAGATGCAGGGTGAAGGGACGGCTTCTGTGCTTGTAACTCCTGAGTGTTCTAGCTTCCGCTGGCCCCTCCTAACTCACTCGCTTTTTTTAATTCCTTTCCCTTGTACGATTCCCATGTGGAGGCCGTCGATTCTCTTCTCCCTCCGCCCTCCTCCCCCTGTCCACCTTCATAGCGCCCTGGGAGCAGCTGCTGCTTCTGACGCTCCTCTGCTCGTTACCCTACACTCACTTATTCTCTTCCCGTCCCATTTCCTCCCCTCTCTCAACCCCTCTGATTCTCCCTCCGCCCTCCTCCCCTCGTCCACCTTCATAGCCCGCTGGGAGCAGCAGCTGCTGCTGGCGCTCCTTCGCGCCCTGACCTCTACTCACACCTTCTCTTCCCTTTTATGCCCCTCTCAACCCCTCTGCAGGCCGTCGATTCTCCCTCCGCCCTCCTCCCCCCGTCCACCTTCATAGCGCCCTGGGAGCAGCAGCTGCTACTAGCGCTCCTCCGCGCGCTGCCCTCTGCCGCGCCGCACACTCAGCTCGCAGTGCTCCAGGACCTGCTGCTGCTGCTCTCCCTCAACCCCGCCAACACACGCCTCCTCACCCACTCCCCTGAGTGGCCTGAGTGGCTGCTCGAGATCCTGCTGGCAAACCTCGAGGTAAGGGATAGGTAGGACCTCCTTCCTCCTGCGTGCGCTGCCACTCCCCTGAGTGGCCCGAGTGGCTGCTCGAGATCCTGCTAGCAAACCTCGAGGTAAGGGATAGGTAGGACCTCCTTCCTCCTGCGTGCGCTGCCACTCCCCTGAGTGGCCCGAGTGGCTGCTCGAGATCCTGCTAGCAAACCTCGAGGTAAGGGATAGGTAGGACCTCCTTCCTCCTGCGTGCGCTGCCACTCCCCTGAGTGGCCCGAGTGGCTGCTCGAGATCCTGCTAGCAAACCTCGAGGTAAGGGATAGGTAGGACCTCCTTCCTCCTGCGTGCGCTGCCACTCCCCTGAGTGGCCCGAGTGGCTGCTCGAGATCCTGCTAGCAAACCTCGAGGTAAGGGATAGGTAGGACCTCCTTCCTCCTGCGTGCGCTGCCACTCCCCTGAGTGGCCCGAGTGGCTGCTCGAGATCCTGCTCTCAAACCTCGAGGTAAGGGATAGGTAGGACCTCCTTCCTCCTGCGTGCGCTGCCACTCCCCTGAGTGGCCCGAGTGGCTGCTCGAGATCCTGCTAGCAAACCTCGAGGTAAGGGATAGGTAGGACCTCCTTCCTCCTGCGTGCGCTGCCACTCCCCTGAGTGGCCCGAGTGGCTGCTCGAGATCCTGCTCTCAAACCTCGAGGTAAGGGATAGGTAGGACCTCCTTCCTCCTGCGTGCGCTGCCACTCCCCTGAGTGGCCCGAGTGGCTGCTCGAGATCCTGCTAGCAAACCTCGAGGTAAGGGATAGGTAGGACCTCCTTCCTCCTGCGTGCGCTGCCACTCCCCTGAGTGGCCCGAGTGGCTGCTCGAGATCCTGCTAGCAAACCTCGAGGTAAGGGATAGGTAGGACCTCCTTCCTCCTGCGTGCGCTGCCACTCCCCTGAGTGGCCCGAGTGGCTGCTCGAGATCCTGCTCTCAAACCTCGAGGTAAGGGATAGGTAGGACCTCCTTCCTCCTGCGTGCGCTGCCACTCCCCTGAGTGGCCCGAGTGGCTGCTCGAGATCCTGCTAGCAAACCTCGAGGTAAGGGATAGGTAGGACCTCCTTCCTCCTGCGTGCGCTGCCACTCCCCTGAGTGGCCCGAGTGGCTGCTCGAGATCCTGCTCTCAAACCTCGAGGTAAGGGATAGGTAGGACCTCCTTCCTCCTGCGTGCGCTGCCACTCCCCTGAGTGGCCCGAGTGGCTGCTCGAGATTCTCCTCTCAAGCCTTGAGGTAAGGGAATGCAGCGCAGCAGTAGGTGAGGAATTGGAGTGAATGGTAACTTCCTGAGTGTCTTTTTGGAGAATTCCACTCCTTGCTGCACGAAATTCACTTGTAGCTGCAAAAATCCCTCCTTTCGATGGGTATGGTTGGTTGCTGCACAAATTCCAAGCTTAGCTCCTCTCCTTAAACCCTCCCTCGTTGCCACCCCTCCTCCCATACATCTCGAACCAGACAAATGCCGCATGTGTATTCTTGAAGCCATTCTTATGGATGATCTGGTAGGTTTCCTACATGGCTTTCCTACATGGCTTTCCTACATGGCTTTCCTACATGGCTTTCCTACATGGCTTTCCTACATGGCTTTCCTACATGGCTTTCCTACATGGCTTTCCTACATGGCTTTCCTACATGGCTTTCCTACATGGCTTTCCTACATGGCTTTCCTACATGGCTTTCCTACATGGCTTTCCTACATGGCTTTCCTACATGGCTTTCCTACATGGCTTTCCTACATGGCTTTCCTACATGGCTTTCCTACATGGCTTTCCTACATGGCTTTCCTACATGGCTTTCCTACATGGCTTTCCTACATGGCTTTCCTACATGGCTTTCCTACATGGCTTTCCTACATGGCTTTCCTACATGGCTTTCCTACATGGCTTTCCTACATGGCTTTCCTACATGGCTTTCCTACATGGCTTTCCTACATGGCTTTCCTACATGGCTTTCCTACATGGCTTTCCTACATGGCTTTCCTACATGGCTTTCCTACATGGCTTTCCTACATGGCTTTCCTACATGGCTTTCCTACATGGCTTTCCTACATGGCTTTCCTACATGGCTTTCCTACATGGCTTTCCTACATGGCTTTCCTACATGGCTTTCCTACATGGCTTTCCTACATGGCTTTCCTACATGGCTTTCCTACATGGCTTTCCTACATGGCTTTCCTACATGGCTTTCCTACATGGCTTTCCTACATGGCTTTCCTACATGGCTTTCCTACATGGCTTTCCTACATGGCTTTCCTACATGGCTTTCCTACATGGCTTTCCTACATGGCTTTCCTACATGGCTTTCCTACATGGCTTTCCTACATGGCTTTCCTACATGGCTTTCCTACATGGCTTTCCTACATGGCTTTCCTACATGGCTTTCCTACATGGCTTTCCTACATGGCTTTCCTACATGGCTTTCCTACATGGCTTTCTACATGGCTTTCCTACATGGCTTTCCTACATGGCTTTCCTACATGGCTTTCTACATGGCTTTCCTACATGGCTTTCCTACATGGCTTTCCTACATGGCTTTCCTACATGGCTTTCCTACATGGCTTTCCTACATGGCTTTCCTACATGGCTTTCCTACATGGCTTTCCTACATGGCTTTCCTACATGGCTTTCCTACATGGCTTTCCTACATGGCTTTCCTACATGGCTTTCCTACATGGCTTTCCTACATGGCTTTCCTACATGGCTTTCCTACATGGCTTTCCTACATGGCTTTCCTACATGGCTTTCCTACATGGCTTTCCTACATGGCTTTCCTACATGGCTTTCCTACATGGCTTTCCTACATGGCTTTCCTACATGGCTTTCCTACATGGCTTTCCTACATGGCTTTCCTACATGGCTTTCCTACATGGCTTTCCTACATGGCTTTCCTACATGGCTTTCCTACATGGCTTTCCTACATGGCTTTCCTACATGGCTTTCCTACATGGCTTTCCTACATGGCTTTCCTACATGGCTTTCCTACATGGCTTTCCTACATGGCTTTCCTACATGGCTTTCCTACATGGCTTTCCTACATGGCTTTCCTACATGGCTTTCCTACATGGCTTTCCTACATGGCTTTCCTACATGGCTTTCCTACATGGCTTCCTACATGGCTTTCCTACATGGCTTTCCTACATGGCTTTCCTACATGGCTTTCCTACATGGCTTTCCTACATGGCTTTCTACATGGCTTTCCTACATGGCTTTCCTACATGGCTTTCCTACATGGCTTTCCTACATGGCTTCCTACATGGCTTTCCTACATGGCTTTCCTACATGGCTTTCCTACATGGCTTTCCTACATGGCTTTCCTACATGGCTTTCCTACATGGCTTTCCTACATGGCTTTCCTACATGGCTTTCCTACATGGCTTTCCTACATGGCTTTCCTACATGGCTTTTCCTACATGGCTTTCCTTACATGGCTTTCCTACATGGCTTTCCTACATGCTTCTCCTACATGGCTTTCCTACATGGCTTTCCTACATGGCTTTCCCTACATGGCTTTCCTACATGCTTTCCTACATGGCTTTCCTACATGGCTTTCCTACATGGCTTTCCTACATGGCTTTCCTACATGGCTTTCCTACATGGCTTTCCTACATGGCTTTCCTACATGGCTTTCCTACATGGCTTTCCTACATGGCTTTCCTACATGGCTTTCCTACATGGCTTTCCTACATGGCTTTCCTACATGGCTTTCCTACATGGCTTTCCTACATGGCTTTCCTACATTGGCTTTCCTACATGGCTTTCCTACATGGCTT